GACTGCTTACGTGGACATAGTCGTTCATTCCATTTGCCTGCAGAAGCTGTTAAACAATCGTTAAATGACAAGACGCTCTTAGTCAGACGCCAGAATGACGCCCCCTGTCTCTCATGACAGATGCTTCAGATGTCGCCATTGGGGCAGTGTTACAACAGCAGGTACATGGCGAATGGCAACCCCTTGCATTCTTTTCGAAACGACTGAATCCTACTCAATGTCGATATAGCACCTTCGGTAGAGAGTTATTAGCTGTTTATTTAGCAATCAAGCACTTTCGACATATGCTGGAAGGTACACCTTTTACTGTCTTTACAGACCACAAGGCTCTAACGAAAGCCTTATCAGCAAAACAGGATAACTACTCTCCACGTGAACTACGACATCTCGAGTTTATATCACAGTTCACCTCCGATCTGCGACACATAAAGGGTAAAAACAATGAAGTGGCAGACGCTTTATCACGTATGCACATTGATAACATTGTATGCCCAGACATCGACTACGAACATCTCTCAAACTTACAACGAGATGACGCCGAACTCAAAAAGATCATGTCTTCTAAAACAACATCTCTAAACCTCGAGGCAATTCCTTTCGGCACGACAAAAGTTATCTGCGACACCTCTACAGGTAAATATCGACCTTTCGTTCCAATAGCTATGAGACATACAGTATTCGAGAAGTTACATAACTTGTCGCATCCTGGTGTTAGCGCTACTACCAAGCTACTAAGAGAAAGATTTATCTGGCCAAACATTAACAGCGACGTTAAGAAGTGGACACGAAATTGCTTGTCTTGTCAAAGAGTCAAAATCAACCGGCACACCAAAGCACCACTTGGTCGCTTCCCTAACCCCGACTCTAGATTTGACCATGTACATGTAGACATAGTTGGTCCACTGCCTCCTTCCAATGGTTTTAACTATATTCTAACCTGCATTGACAGATTTACTCGTTGGCCAGTAGCAGTTCCATTAATCGACGTCTCAGCTGAAACGGTAGCTAAAGCTTTAGTCGAAAACTGGATAGCCAATTTTGGTGTCCCATCAATTATCACTACAGACAGAGGTGCCCAGTTTGAAAGCCGACTTTTGACCAACTAACTGAATTACTAGGCATTAAACGAATACGAACGACAGCGTATCATCCTAGTTCCAACGGTATGGTCGAACGATTTCATCGACAACTCAAAGCTGCGCTCGCTGCTTCTTTGACTCGAAACGATTGGTCAACCAAACTTCCACTAGTATTACTTGGTATACGAGCTACTATAAAGAAAGATATTGGCTGCTGTGTTTCCGAACTAGTCTATGGAACAACATTACGATTACCAGGAGAATTTTTCACCCCGGGTAACCAAGTTCCACACGATATGACTGGTTACGTGCACCAGCTAAAACGACACATGAACGAGCTAAAGATATCACTTCCACGTCAGCAGGAACGAGCGTCATACATCCCGTCACAACTGACAGATTGTACTCACGTCTTCGTCAGGAGAGAAGGTGTACAACGACCACTTCAACCCGCTTATGATGGCCCATTCAAAGTTCTAAACAGAAACGCGAAAGTTATCACGATAGAAAGATTGAATAAAACAGAAGCCATCAGTATCGACAGAGTCAAACCAGCGTTCCTCGACGATTTCGAAGTCAACGATAAGAACCAGCTGAACGACGTGCCAACACCTACATCCACACAAGCTTCAACGTCGACAGAGAAGCCTGCGAAAACAACACGATCTGGTAGACGAGTCCATTGGCCTAAACGTTACGTGCAAGTCATCGAAATATAACTTACTACGAATTTTCATTTTTATTATCTTTATTCGTAATTGTCATTTGATTACTCATTTAACTGATTAATATTTTCATACATAAATCACGTCACTATTATTTTAACATCGATATTTCCTATATTATTATATTTAATCACATCTCGTATATTATTCACGTATCGTTTTCGTCTACCGACTACAGATCCCCGGACAATTTTATCGTTCCTTATATATTCTATTACGATTAGTAATTCCACTTTCCCTAGATTATCGCATTTATTATCGACGTTATTAACCGCATTAAACTGCTCATTTTTCAGCTTAATAAATCGCCTTCTGTGTACTATCGCTGCTACGTATTACGCTGACGCATGTTATTTTCGAACACTTAAATGTATTCTTTTTATATTTTAGTGTTCTGGTGGGGGAATTATGTAGTACCCCTATACCAACCGTAAACATGCTTTTTAATCTAATTTGTATACTTGCATTATATGTGTATACAGACCGATTTTATATATACTTCGCAAATACTTGTCCATTCACTGTTGAATATTACCTTGACACAATTTCGAATTTGACTACTGCTTCAATACATATTCGTAATCTTCGCAAGTGCCTTTTGATTTACGTTGTGGGCGTCGAGTAGCCACAACGTCTGCGCACATCAATAAGAACGAAGAAATACATAGAATATATGTGTACAGCAGTTTAGTCAGACAACGCACGCAACACAAAGATACCTGATAACCTAGTAGGAGAAACAAATGAAACAATGAATGGGCAGATTACTTCAAAGGATTCTTGAGTCCACCATCCCTTGCAACTCGCCCAGATATACACCACTAACAGCTGTACGTACAGAACTGTCTGTCAGTGGATACCAATCCTCCAGCGAAGGCAGAAATCAAGCTACTGAAGAACAGCCGGGAAGACAGTACGGCCAGACGGAATTCTCCCAGAAGCAGTGGAGACGGACCCAGAGACTTCAGCAGATACTCTCAGTCCACTATGGCAAGAAGTTGGAAAGGAAAGAAAGGTGCCTACCGAATGGAAGAAAGACTGCCTACCTTGTCAAGCCACCAAAGAGAGGTGACTTATGCCTTTGCAAGAACTGACACAGAATCATGCCCCTGTCCACACCGAGTAAAATACTAAGTCGCGTCAACCTGGAGGGATTAGAAGGTGCACTGGATGCATAACCCCACCCCACTGCAACAAGCTGGATTCAGGAAAGACAAGTCATGTGCTGATAGAATTGCAACTCTACGCATCGTCATCGAACAAAGAATAAAACGGCAGTCAAACCTCTCTCTACTTCAATTTCATCGACATTAGTATGACAAGGCTGGTTGCCTTTTATCACCGATGATATTCCTAATTGCGGTGGACTGGATTATGCGTTAGACTGTGCACAGGGAGTGAGAAGACAGGAATACATTGGACTGACCCATAAAAAGACACTAGATGATTTATGTTCAATATAACACAAACTCGAATACATGCAGGCGGAAACCAGAAAACTGGCAAAAGAGGCCGACAGCGAAGACAGGACTCCAGGTGTACATAGAGAAGATGGAGGTGATGAAGATAACCGACGAACAACAGCAACAACAACCAACACCAACTACCATCAACGGGAGAAATATGACAGAGGTGACTTCCTTCACTTATCTAGAAAGCATGGTTTCAACCACAGGCAACGGAGACGGATGAAGATATTAAGGCTAGCCAAAATCGGAAAGGCAAGATACGCCTTCATCGACGTAAAACCAATCTAGAAATCTTCTGTACTCAACCAGCGTAAAGTAGGAGAAACCGGAAGTTCAACACAAACTTAAAGTCAGCCAGTTCTTCTATATGGGTAGAGAACTTGCACTGCGTGTCAAGAAAATTATTTCCAACAAGTTACAGACTTTTATCAACAGCTGCCTACGCTGGCTCCCTACTGAAGATCACAAAGTCGGCAAGAGGTATTAGCAACAAGAATTTCTGGCTGGGAACAAACTAACCGCGAGCCGATTACTCAACAGATACGCAGAAGGAAATGGAGATGGATTGGGTATACGTTGAGGAGGCCACCAAAGGACATCGCGCGCAATGCAGACCATCGCTCAAGTAGCATCCCAATAGAAAGCGACAAGTGGGTCGTCTGAGGGAGAGCAGAGGAGATCGTAAGAAGAGATGAGAGATTATGGGCAATCGTGGACCGAACTGAAGAGGACAGAGGAAAATAGAACAAACTGGAGATGTGTTGTTGAAGTCCTATGGATGGAGTGCCCCTCTATGATATTGGTTGGTGGTTGCACTAAATCACGAATTGGTAGAAGTTAGAATTCATGGACCATTGAATCGGGTCCCAGTGGATGAATCGACGAGGTTGTGATATAACATCGACTGAGATGGTTAGGACATGTGTTACGTATTCCTAGCCGTCGATCGCCTTCCTCGACGAGCAATGTTAGCTGATATAGGGTCAGGCTGGAAAAGAGCTAGCGGAGGTCAAAAAAAACATGGTACCAGTCAATGAAATCTACAACAGTTAGTCTAAGCCACGTAGGAAGGTGTAGACTGGTTGGGGTCCTCGGGATGGTGAAAACCAATAGCTGGAGACAATCAGTGATATGGCTCAAAATCGTTCTCAATGGCTCAGATGCATCCACTCCTTGTGACTTATGATTTACAATGAAACTACATTGTTCTTCGTTATAACTATTCCTTTTGTCTCATATTCCTGTCTACTGTCTCTATTTTGCATTTCTTCTCTTGGTTTGTGTGGTACATGGAGTGTGGCGACTTGAACTGCCGCACATATGTGCAAAGTTCTACATCGAAAACAGACAGACAGTGGCTGAATGGTATACGAGCTTGCCTTGTAACCGGAAGGTCCTGTGTTCGAACCCCCGTGGGTGCGTACTATCGATGATTCCCAAACTATGAGAAACAGCTGTCCAGTGCTCCCTGCTGGTTTTCAGTGGTTCTCTAACTGACATCATCCGTGGTCAAACTCATATGAGAAAATAATCATAAACTGATGAACAAGATCATGAAACACATCAGTAGCAACTGTTGTGTTCCCAGAGCTCCTAACAGTTGTTAACTTAAAGCAAAACATTTAGAAGATCAGAACATACTTCAGTGGAGGAAAAGTCCATATGAGCACAAACACAAAATAATGCTAAAAAATTCCTACCTCGTTAAGAAAATCCGATGGACTAACCAGATCAGTACAACCGTAAGTAATGTGTTTTGAGTAGGTTGTTCCCGAAGATTAAGAGAACTTGATGCATCGTGTACTCCTTGATTAGCCCGATTGTTCACTCCATTCACAGAAGTCGCCAGAGATGTTGAGGAAGCAGAAGATGAAATAGATGTAGTATTACAAGTTGATTTAACCCAGTCTAACAGATTTTGATATTCTACATAGCTGCCGCCACCGATGACAAAAACAAAAGCTTCATCAAAAGGTTGTTTAACCCGAGGTATATTACTGGAAAGTTAAAAAAAGGAGAGGGATGTGAAATAAGTTAAAGAACAAAAATCCTACTGTGAATAAATAAATAGTAGCTTAACAGCTTACACATTTACTATAGATTACAATATCCAGGGGAGTTTGTGGCTTATTGAACTGGGTTAAATGATCTAACAGAGGAACGTGCATTGTTATTATACAGAAATGTACTCAATTCTAAGTTCAAGATACAGCAAACAGACAAAAAATACATGAATTCAAATAAGATGATGGATTAATCTCAAGTCAAAGGAACCACATATGTCTTAGTAAGCGGCAACCATCAGACTGGAACATACACTATTCTAGTCTGAGCAGTAAATATACATGCAATATTGGCGTTATCATCCCTTTATTTGTGCACCTTGTGCATCATACTAAATTTCCATGGTGTATCTGAAATCCTGAAGTTTTTAAATTTTCATCAGGATAACATATTGTGATGTATAACAGAACTAATAAAAATATACCATCACGAAGAACGAAAAAGTACGTCAGAAATATTTAAATGGACCTATCTAGTAATCAGAGTGTTAAAGGTCTCATGACAAGATGTCTGATTATCAAAACATACAATCGAGGAAATATGTTTACATGACCACAACAGAGAAGTGTTATCTCATTTATTCCCAAGACTAATGAAGAAAGCGCGATGCAAACACACTTCCAGTGTTCATCTCCTCAGTCACCAGACTGCTCAAAGATGACAATGCACTTTTGCGCCTGACTCTTACACCCTCTTTTTCACCATACATAGATATTTTAAGTTCATTAAACGTGTAGTTACAACAAACTACAATTATAAATTTTAATATTATTGGAACTAGATGATAAACATTTCTACACAGGACAGTAATATTAGTTCACACATAATATAAAAGTTAGCGTAACGGGACTAGTTAGTTAATGAACAAAAAATAAGCATAGTTACAAAACAGAATATATATGTATATATTTATTAATCACTCCTTAAGGACTCCCGTTGCTGTTGTTTGTCTTCTTTTTTCTCTCACCATTTCAGCTTCTATTTCACTTTTTGAATGAGAATGAATAATGTGGATATTTGACCATTTGCAATGACAAATGATCTGCAAACATTATTGGTCCCGTATCTTTCAGTTGCCTGGTTAATAACGAATTAACTTTCTCCACGACGCAACCTGGATTACATTTGTGGAATATACTCTTATACCAATGGAAAAGTATCAATTTGTAATACAACGTCACGATTGTAACTTATAACATAACTGATCGTATCTGTAAAAATAGCTTCCTTATTACCCAATTTGGATATAAATCAAATCAAAAATAAGATTCGGATTTGTACACACCCAAGTTATATTGAGGAATTACTTCAAGCTTTATTTTTTCCCAAGTATTTTTAATCCATACAAAACTTACTTGGGTTTTTTTGTTAATGCGAAGTTAATATTCCTATATTTCATGACGTGCTCCATTGAATGACTGGTTATCATATTATTCCCACAGACCTAAGACAAAAACGCCAGCAACCATGTAACTTAACCATAAACCGAATTTATGAAATTTAAATAATGCGTACCCATGCCTGTATATTTGGTGTGTCCTACACAAGTAGGAAAAATGTGTATTTTATTAAAACATTATTATTAATTATGATTGCTAATTGTATATGTAATTTATCATATTGATGATGCCTGTAAACTGGCGTCTCTCATGTACAAAATGAGAATATACTATTATTATTATTATAATCAGAGTGTTAAAGGTCTCATGACAAGATGTCTGATTATCAAAACATACAATCGTGGAAATATGTTTACATGACCACAACAGAGAAGTGTTATCTCATTTATTCCCAAGACTAATGAAGAAAGTGGCATTTTGATTCATAGTGGACTGTTTGATCATACACAACACAGATTCTCACGGACGCCGATTAGGTACTCAGCAAAAATAATAACTGGAGATGATTTAAGGATTTCCACTAATGTTAAACATAAATTAGGACAAAATCCAGATATTTTCTTAATTAATATATCGAGGGAAAATATTCAATGATAGATAAAGAAATACACAAAAAGGAGAGCTCTGTACTGTACACCATTAATTGAAGAAGTAAATGTAAGTATGATACTGGGATGCGATACTAAAATATGACAGGAGGAAAAATCAAATCATTATGAACAGCATTTTCACGACTTTGAAGGTGACATACTATAATGCTATTGTGACCCATTGGTTTGGGTATTTAACTTTTAACACCTTGATAGAGAGTTCAGCATCCTCCTACCCCCACAGATACAAGGGTTTGAGAAGCCAAGGCGAACTGTCACAACATAAACAACAAGTGTGCATCATTGTCAAGTCCATGTAAGTATGTATGGATGTTGACTAATCGTTATTATAGAGTACAATTTTTATTATGACAAATATCGAGTCTGATCAAAAACACATTGCGCCAAAAGTTGAAGACGTTATAAATTGATAAAGTGTTGATCTAACCACCAATAACTTTCTTATAAAACAATTGTCAATGTAGTTGACGATTGAACGATCAATTCATGGTTGTTTGCTCAAACCCAACTTCCCTATATTTTCGCGGAGACATTGATATACCAGTCATCGTCTCATCGGTCGCTGTTCAGAAAGAAGTCAGACCAAAACTGTCAGAAGTAATATTGTGATTTATTATTGTAATATTTGTTCATAGACCTTAGTTAAAGCTTAATTTTAAAGTTGGATATATTGGTGTTACAATAGAGAATTCTCGAGTAGCCAATCGGTGTTTTGGTTTTGCGTCCGTTATTACTAAGCGTTTTGAGAAACTTCAAGGAACAGCGTGAGTCCCAGCGTAGCAAGAGCTGGGCATTGACGGTTTACGAGACGTGGCTGACAACAATCTTAATGTAGCAAAGCTTCCTGAGTTAAATGAAAATTCAGCCTTTTTAACACAGGTATCAGGTATCTTAAACAGCAAAGATTCACAAACCTATTTACACAGTTACCTTTCCTCTTCAACACTCCGTTGTCTGTGGTAGCCCTAAATATATCTACGCTTAATAGCCTTCGCATGTTTTCAATCTTGGGCGACTGAATTTTACGGTCACGTAGTAAAACGGAAAGAAATGCGAAATTTGGCTAAGATGACAACATATGTGTAAACTTTTAAAATTCTAGAAACGGTTTAAATCATTTTGTGTAGATTAAAAAAAATCTAACCAATGAGTTCTAATCAACTTACGTATCTTGACGCCTGTACAATTTAGGATCAAAATAACGATAATCCTCAAATTCAGAACCGCTTTTATTTTCCATTAGTTGAGATACAATACGAGTGAATGGAAGATACTGTGAACAGATGAAATAATCATAACAAAAAAATATATACTCAAAAGATTACACACTCAATTTACAAGGTAAATTCGGACTAAAATTGAAGTTACAGGCACACAACTACTTTTGTTTTACATGTTTGAATGCCAATCTTCGCTTTTAGTGCAGAAAAACTAACTCTTGTGAGGATATATACAAGCTTAGATATTATCTCTCCTTTGGTTAATTCAATGAATGACAAGCCAACGTAGAAATTAGCACAGAAATGCATCAGCTCAAGTTACCCTCTCCCACCTCACGTCAATTTGAAAACAAACGAAAAATAATGGTGGGAAAACATGGGAAAGACAAAGGATATTTAAATGAAGATTAGTGAAACTTTTCGTAATTCGCAGATGATAAGGAAAGAATATATCTGCCTAACTGTGAACGATTTTCAGCTACGTCGAGTCAGCAATTTGGTGACTCGTAACAGCTTTCAGCACTATTGCCAATCCAGTTGACCGTTGAACTCTTCTTATCTAGATGCGTCGATCAACTTTTTCAGATTCACGGTATTTTGAGGTGTGCGTGCTATTTCAGCAGAAGCGTTTCACCCCTTTTGTTCTGCTCTCGTATAACACTTTCTAAGGTTCGTGATCTAGCAATATTCCCTAGATACGTTCTAAATCCCTTTTCCCTTGAATTATCCTAGTATTTTCATTTGCGCAAGCATATTGTTCGCTTGAGCGAATTTCCAGCTGAGTTTTTAACTTCCGACTTCTGGTCAATGTGTTTACTTTACGTAAAAATTTCTGGTTCTTTAGCTAACTACATGAATTACCTTCAGTAGGGTCTGATGATTTGTAGCTTATCAAGAACACTCAGTAGCATCTTTCATTTTTCCACCGAGATAAATCAGTGGTCTTTTCTAGACGGCGTTAATCTTATTCCTTGGAAAAACGAGTTTCGTTATTGCACTTTTAATTTCGACCAATATGAACTGGCTCGTTCCCACCAATCTCTTGCTGTAGATGATAGTGAATTTGAAACTGGTTTGAATATTAGGTATTTCTGATCATGTATTTCTTCTGGTCTATCCTGTTCCTTTTGAAGGCGACAGTAATATCTTGGAACATGTTTATTTTAACTTGCTGTTCAATGGAGTTGACACATTTCAATATCACTTAGTATCTACATCTACATTTTCCTAATTCTAAATTTTCCACTTTGTCTTCTTCATTACACCCCTTTAACCACCTTGAGTTATTTCAGTGAGTGTTTCGCACTGTCATTTTTGGATAGTAGAGCGACGCTCAGTCAGCTTCTTAATACTTTTGTTGATGAGCACTTGAACTGATCCGAGGACATAGTGAGTATTTTCTCTTCGGACTCAGCCTCACTCCTGTAATAGACTTACTGCTTGCTTTTATCCGTGCTGGAATATAGGCAGCTTTAAGGCATTTTATACTGGAACGACTTAGCATAAACTCTATTTAGCACACAATTTATCTGGTTAAGAATTGTAAGTTATGACACTAACGAGATACTGCGAAACGGCCAGGCACCACTAACTACCAATCAGCGAACGACATCGAATTATCCAATGAGATTCACAAGCGTTAGTTCAAAGTTGTATAGCGCTTGATTCATTTCACATGCGTGCCCTAACAAGGTTACGGTTGCGATTCGAGGAGGATAGTGTTTTCCAGTATAACCTGGACTTAGGGTTGCTCCGGAAGGAGTGAACTTGTTTGTGTGGTGGTGTTATGACTTTCAAAAGCTATAGCAGGTTAACTGATGGATTTTTCCATCGTTGTGCAGTATGCTTGAAGCGATTGAGCATTAGAGAGGGTAAGCTGATAAATTTAATATTTCGTAGGAACTAATTTTGCACGGTAACACCTCTTTGACGCAAATTTTGTATATCTGCAAATAGTGGGTATTGAAACAGCCACTGAGAGCCGCAGTGCCGAGATGGAAAATAGCCCCTCCTCAACAGTTCAATGCTACCAGCATTGCAGAGATATTGCTTCTTGAAAAATAGAGAAAATCAATTCTTTGTTGGGTGGATAAGACGTTGTTGTGCTCGTGGATGAAACTGTGTTGGTGAAAAAGAAATACAACCGTGGTCGCTAGCGAGCGACACCTCCCTCCGAAAAGGATTCGTGGAAAGAATAGCAGATAGAAGGGCGACTACAATAATACCTACTATTACGAGATTTGTAAAACGGGGATCAATAATACATAAGGACGAATTGAAGGGTTACAATTCCCTGTCATTTCTGAGACATATTCGGATTTTAGGGCCGGTCGAAAAATAGAATAAGGTCTATAAATGGATCTCAATGCAATTTCATTTACAGTCATTTAGACGAATGTATATGTAGAGAATGTGGTGTAACATGTCTATTGACAGTCCGACGATTAACTAGCAGATGTTTGCCTCAAACGTTACGAAAAGTTACATCCTGACCGCCTAATGCTTTTTTCTATGAATATACGTTTCCAATTATCATAAATGCCTCCTTAGCGTGATTGATCCGTTCAAGGTCGTTTGCCGATTGGTTGTTAGTGGTGACGAAAGTTTAGCTTCTCCTGCGAAACACGTAATACATAGGTTTTTTCCTTTCTTCATTAGTGCACTGTCATTATTATTATTATATCCCTTAATTCCCAGAGAAACATAGGGCTTCAGCCGCGCGTGTCCACTGCCTTCGGTTTTCTGGCAACTTTCTCACCTCGCTCCAAGTCAGCCCACATGCTTTCATCTCCTCTTCACATGACATCCTTCAGGTCAACCTCGCACTGACGACCAACTCGCCGCTTCCCTTTCCGGTTCCACTCGAGCGATGGCTTGTCTAGTGATGTTGTCAATGGAGTTGAAGATTGAACGATCAATTCATGGTTGTTTGCTCAGAATCAACTTCCCCAATTTTCGCGGAGGCATCAATACGACAGTCATCGTCTCATCGGTCGCTGTTCAGAAAGAGGAGTGAAACATCGTCAGAAGTAATACTATGATTTATTATTGTAATATTTGTTCACAGACCTTAGTTCAGTTATTATTTTTATATGTTGGTGTAACAATAAAGAAATCTCAAGCGGCAGATCGGTGTTTTGGTTTTTTCGTCCGTTATTACTAAGCGTTTCTGAAAACTTCAAGGAACAGCGTGGGCCCGAGCGTAGCAAGAGCTGGGCATTAACGGTTTATGAGACGTGATTGACATATGTCTCTTGATGGTTTCCTCAGAGTATGGCCAATCCATCTTCATTTCTTCCTGCCTATCTGTTTCATAGTTGGTTCCTGGTTGGTCCGCCCCGAGAGACCCCTGCTGCTGAGCTTTTCCGGCCATCTGATCTTGAGTATTGAGCGAAGACAACTGTGAATGAAGTTCTGAAGCTTGTTTGAGATGCTCTTTGTGACGCACCAAGTCCCTGATCTGTACAGTAAGTAGCACTGACTTCACACTGGAGTTTAAAATCCGGATGTTATTTTTGATGCTGAGTGCTGTTGACCTCCTGCACACAGACTTGAGAGTAATGAAAGCTTGTCTTGCTTTTCCGATTCGTGCTTTGATATGCTTTTCAGTTCCGCCTGTAGTTGAAGCGATGCTTCCCAGGTAAGTGGGTAAAGGAGGTCGTTTCTTTCAGGTTCCTCCTATTTATGCTGGCTGATTGTTGTCTGTTATTGTTGTTGCTGTTGGTGTTGGCCAGGAATCTTCATCGCCTCTGTTTTATCTGTGTTCACCTAAAGTCCTGTCTTTGAATCTTCTGCCAACTTGTTGCTTTTCACTTTCATATCTCCCAGTATTTTAATTTTTGATTTACAGCTTGATTCCACACTGTATTTTTGGTACAAGTATGGAATTTTCAGCATGGATATCGGTAGCCCAAATTTTGCAGGCCGACCATAGATATCAGGTGTGCGTCGGCGTGGGCTCGAACTCCGGACTATGTACATGGTCGGCGAGAGTCCTAACCACTGTGCCACCGACGCACATATATCATCATATATATCAGACATATATCATCATCGGCGAATTTCACATCCTCCAAGTTTTTTGTGTGAGTCCATTTTATGCCTGTTTCCTCATTGTCCGTTGTCTGTCGCATTATCCAATCAATTGCAATCAGGAAGATCATTGGTGATAGTAGACAGCCTTGCCTCACTCCCGTCCTCACTTCGAAGGCTTCCGTAAGTTTCCCGTTGTGGATTACTTGGCATGCAGCATTGTCGTATAACTGTTGGATGAGATGTATAATTGTCGATGGGACCCGGTAGTAGCGAAGTAGTTTCCAAATAACCTCTCAATAGACACTGTCGAAGGCCTTTTCAAAGTCTATGAAGTTGAGGTAGAGAGGTGACTGCCATTCCAAGCTTTCGTCAGTGATTGTCAGTCACGTCTCGTAAAGCGTAAATGCCGAGCTCTTGCTACTGTGGGACTCACGCTGTTCCTTGAAGTTTCTCAGAAACACTTAGTAATAACGGACGCAAAAACCAAATCACCGATTGGAGACTCGAGGATTCTTTATTGTAACACCAACATATAGCCAACTTTACAACTAAGGTCTATGGACAAATATTACAATAATAAATCACAATATTACTTCTGACGGTTGTCTCCTGACTTCTTTCTGAACAGCGACCGATGAGAAGACGACTGGTGTATTGATCCTGCGCGAAAAATGGGGAAGATGGGTTAGAGCAAACAACCATGAATAGATCGTCCAATATTCATTTACAGAGACAGTGATGATGTGTAGAGTGGCGACTTGATCAATACATGACTTGTTTTTCTCAATCCAGCTTGCTGTGGTCTAAGTTTTTCATCCAGGGCTTGTTTGATTCTCTCCAGGATGATGCGGCTTATTATTTTGCTTAAATATCGATTCAAATTTAAGTTCCTACTTAAATTTTGATTTCACATTCGTATTCTTTTTGATAATATTGTCATTGTAAGCACACTATGAAATATTTCTCTCCATGTTAGGCGATGCAATGATAAAATTATGCACAATATTGCATGACACGCTGAGAATTCAACAGTGTTCCATGAGCGTTGTTTGGAATTAAGTTAGTATTATTAGTAGTAGTAGACTTAAATTGTAAAGGTGAGCATACATAGTTGGGTTAAGAATGCGTGCAAATAATTTTCACCTCACCACATAGTTGCCTCAAATAGTTAATTCTCCTCTCTCATTAATTAACGATATCTGCTGTTTATGTAAAACAGAAGATCTTTTGAGACGAATTTAACAGGAAATGTTGCTTCTTCGTCATAGCTTATTTGCTACTAACAGAAAAGTTATCAGATTGGCGTCTATTTTCGAAACACTAGGTAACTTATTGATGAACGCCACACAGCAATAAAAACACACTCAAATATTCAGAAATCATATCGTTAAAGAAAAACTTTTACGAAAATTCGCAGCGAAAATGTTGTGGTATTGTACATAATGAAAGAAAATGGCGCCTAATTTTATGTCATACATTACTTAGCTTTGATGTATTAACTGCACTGACAGCTTACAGAGTTATGTGGTTATGGTAGGTTTCTAAGTCATATGGTTATGCGATTTTGTTCATCTATGGTGACTCTAGACTATAGCAGCCTAAAACGACACTACCTCTAGTGACCAATGAAATCTATAAGAAGTAGAAGTGCACAACTTGAGGCAAACGTCTGTAATAATGATAATGTATATTTTCATATAAACATATAAATTTACATGAAAATGAATTCCATTTTTACAGGAACGATCAAGTATGATATAATCTCAAATCGTAGATTGTCTACAAGTAAATAATTTTACAACAGCTCAATTTTTGATATATATATATATACACTCATTGTCTGAACCAGGCCGCATAGTTATTGAATTGTACAGTTGTCCTCCAGGTTTCGCGGGAAAATCGACTTCGTTTAGTTTTCAACCCGTGGTTGTAGGCATACGGTAACCAACCGATATTGAGGTAAGTACTACATTTACACGGGATTGAAGGCTGTTTCAGAAACGTAAACGTGCTCAGGCGAATCATTAAGGTGTAATGAAATAAGTAAGTGCAATGTATAAATGCATTCATAAAGGATATACAATGGAAAACTATACAATTCCTGGGCTGACAAAGTTCATTTGTAATGTATAATGCTACCCATATTAGGTCTTACTATCATGATGTCCACTTTCGGTTTTAATACAATTATCTTTAGGCCGGTTGTTTTTATTTCATACCTCCCCAGCTAGCATTTTTCTCGGGCGCATTGCAGACATTTCGGGGCAAAAACTTGGCTAGATCTACTTACGTGGGTCAGCGTCCCGGAGTTTGCCCCAGAAAGTCTGCAATTTGCCGTAAGTCTGCCCTAAAAAGTCTGCAATGCGCCCTAACTTAATATGACAAATTGCAACCTGGAATAACGTGTCTGCGGTTCCGCATTTAACTGTTAGTCGACAATTAAATCAGAGTTAAATCTATTACGTAGACAGGTCGTCTCAAAAAAGAACAAACTGGCAGTAGCTCAACGACTCACATTATCATTATTATTCCTTTCTGGTCATCTTCGCAGAGTACTTTGGAGGCTCCTTATGTTAATGCATGTATAGCAGCACATTCATGGGCAGGTAGAGTTTAGATTAGTGTTTTGATATAGACACTTAATAGTATAGGAGGGATCCCTCCTGCGAAATCAACCAATGTTCGCTGTAATGTTAAGCTAATAATAATGCAGAGGTAACGCTGATAAAGTATGAAAGGATGGTTTTACCGTGATGAGTAAATACTGGAGTTTCATGGTTTCCCACATCAAAAAGAGTACTGTGTGCTATTAGTTCAGCACCTGTTGACATTTTTCAGAACTTTTATTGTTGGGTCAGTAGTAGCTATCATTATTTTGAAAGTTATCTGCTCAAATGTCATATTACCAAGCATAACTGCCGGATAGGCTGCAAAATTTTTTCAGAGCATTAAACTTGGAATAAAACAGGGGGAAATACTTTAATTATAGAGTGAATTTAATTGCTAAAAACACACAGTGATACAGTGTTATTTATTAGTGGCGCTTCAAACACCATATGGTTCTCGTAATCTTAGTAAGTTACGTAACTTCCAAACTTCGGTTATATAGTTCCATTATTTTCTTCAAATTTAAGGGCAAAATATGTAGACAAACAAGGGGTGGCAATGTTGTCAACCACATCCCCATTCGTAGCAGATATCTTTTTGTAAAAATATGGCTCTTGATGCATTCATTCCTATCTCACACATGTGGTGAAGGTATGTGGATAACACTTTCATAGGGTTAAAAATAAGACATGTCTAATTTCTTAACACATAAACTCATTAGTAGTGGGGATAAAATTTACATCTGGCTGAGAACATGAACAAGGAGTGGTTAGGACTCTTGCCGACCATGCACATGATCCGAGGTTCGATCCCCTGCCGATACACGCCTGATATCTATGGTCAGCCTGTAAAATTTATTCCATACTTGTATTAAAACTACAGTGAGGAATCAAGCTGTAATCAAAATAAAATAGATTAAAAAATAAGACGAGCAGGAGAAGGTAGAAAGTCTACTGGCGTTTGTAAAAAGCCAACACTAATAAATATTTAGACTTTAATTTATCTCCTCCGTTATCCGTAAACGCAGGCTTGTTTAAGTGCCTGATACTTTGAGCAGTAACTCTAAGTAGTACATCGAAAATCCTAAATAATGAAATGAAGAAGAAGCGTTGATGCAAAATAACCATCTCATAAAATTCATTAAGGTCATAAAAGTTCGCAAGAAAAAGAAAACTTCTAATGGAACTGTTGACCATAGCAAATAAGTATTTAGGGCATCTATGGTTTCACCATATGGGAAAGGGACATCCAAAACCCTGCGTAGGATCTTTAACAAAGCAGGAGTTGGGGTGGCATTTAAGCCCACAAAGTCACTCAGGGACAAGCTCTGTAGGTTAAAGTACCCTATTTATCCGATTAGACAAAGTAGTTTAATCTACAAAATGCCTTACCAATGACTGTGAGGTCAACTACATAGGTCGGTAGTCAGATTATCAGATCATAAGAATTTAGCTAGAATTATTTATTTTTATTTATTTTTATTTTTGATTACAGCTTGATTCCACACCCTATTTTTGGTACAAGTATGGAATTTTCAGCGTGGATATAGGTAGCCCAAAATTCGCAGGCCGACCATAGATATCAGGTGTGCGTCGGTGTGGGCTCGAACCCCGGACCATGTGCATGGTCGGCGAGAGTCCTAACCACTGTGCCACCGACGCACAAATCAATTAGGAAGATCGACTCCCGTAAAGTGAATACTTTAGAGAAAAACCTGGCAATCGCGATGTATGCGTTAACAAAATCACACAATGTGGTGGGACAATGCGACAGTTCTTAAACGGAATGTAGGTGTGTTAAGGAAGAGGTTAGTCGCTGAATCATTATTCATTGAATATACACCTAACACTTGCACTGGGAATGGTACAACGTCAAAACCAGTGATATGAAAAATATTACTCCCAATGAAACTAAAGGGTTATAAATAATAAATTAATGTGGACGACGTTTGAAGGTTATGTGGGGATGAGTGAATGTCGTCACAAAATAATGCTGTATCACTGTGTAGTCTTTTCAGATACATTTACTGTATGATGGAATTATACCCTACCAAAATTACCAAGTTCCTTTCAAAGGAGAAAAATAAAAGGTGAGAGTAGTATCATCAAAATCCACTGAATCCCAGTAGTCAATGAGAAAAAAATAATAATTGTTCAAATGGAAACATAACGTAAATAAATATTCACCGCTGTATTAAACCTTGTATTACCTCATCATGATTCTTTTATTCAGTTTTGTAGATGAGTTCAGACACTCCATTGGAGCCTGTATTTGGTTATCCTAACACAGAGGAAAAGTTAAGTGAACGTAATCAATTTCGAAACGCTGTAATTGTTGGATGTGGTATCACAACTGTTACTGCATACTATGTGTTTTGGTCCTTTCTTTCTCCTGCATTTCGAAGGTTTTGTTTGCCATTCTTACCTGCTACGTCTTCACAACTAGACAACACTTACAAGCTTTTGAAATATGCACAAAGTCGACGAATTGACAGATCTTTGGGATCAGTAGTCGACCTTGGCAGTGGTGATGGACGTGTGGTTAGTTGATCTTTTTCCTCTTCCTACTTTTCTTCTAATGGATTGTATTTATAGCCCTAAAAGTTATGGTTTGATAAGGTTGGGTATATTTGCTAAGTGTTGTGATGAGATGTATTTAGCTCATTCGTGGAGCTAAATGGTAGAATCATATTTTTGACCTGAACACAGATAGAAAAAAATAAATGTAAGGAAACTGTAAGAAACTGAAATGTGCAGCTGTAAGAAAAATGAAGATTTATTGGATTTGGGAGATCACAGGCATCTGCGCCATTGAGAACGATCCTGAGCTATATCACTAATTGCCTCCAGCCATTTAGAGGGACCCAACAAGGCGGTCTACACATCACTACGTGGCTGACCCAAACCAGCAGTCAAAGACTTCATAGATTTAATTCATGAATAATTCCCATTCGAACATTAGACAAAAGACAAGTAGTTCAGCGAAGAGTCTCTTCGGCGAATTCATTTTCATAGCTGTACAATCGCAAATATATATGGTTATTTTGTGTGTGTATATACATTAAATTTGTCAAACGAAAATACAATTAGTAAGTCCAGATGAATTGAATATTGATAAGAGGATAGCAACAAAAGTGATGAGTTGTCATAAATGATTGTTAAATAACAGTTACGTAATGGCAAGAATAGTTTGATGAATGAGTTGTGCTCAGGGTGTACATGGAAACAAAATAATATACAGGATTACACAAGGGTTTTAGGTTAGAAAAATAAGCATACAAACAGAAGTAAGGTCCAATCAAACAAACAAACAAAAGTTAGGTCAAATCAACGGAGTTGTTACCATGCGAGTAGAAGTGGTTGGATAATTTTCTTTTGTATGCATAGTTCTGGTTCCACCAACTGAATGGCTAGAGCTTCTGCGATGCGAAGAAGACGGAATCGTACTGTCTTTGGAAGGTTGTTCTTCACTTTGCAGATTACTTACTCATAGATTTATACCAGATCTTGATTTGTCCATCTTTATCTCTTTTCCAACTCATTTCTTTGTCAACTAACGCTGATGGACAAGGAAATCAATGACTTGACATACGTAGTGTGTGCTAAGTATCTCAATTTTCGCAGCTTCACGGATTGACTTTCCCACCCTACCTAACACTACTCAATCTAATACCAACTGTAATATACTACCCAACACGAAAGACTGAACACAAACCCCTCGTGTTATAAGGTGGTTATTCTCTCCATATTTTCCACTTTTAATGACTGTATCTCAGTAATGAAGAACAAAGTGAACTTCTGCACATACGTCCCATTATCGATAGCTAGGTATGACGTCTACGTCAGAGATGTCGGAAGTTTGCAAATGCTACACTAATCTTTTGTATCCGTGCTGTCAGTGATCAGTCTATTTTGATGGATGCAACTTCCCAAATAGGTGAGGCAATCAACACGCTCAAACATTCCACTTCCTATCCTCAAAATACGAATCGGTTCAAATCACTTGCAGCGGCATCTTACACCCGACAGGAGCGAATCGCAAGCCAAACACTCGAAGACTTCTGCTCGAGGTGTTTAGAAGATTTTGCATTTTTCTGTCGTTTCCAACTAGGCGGGATATTTTATATGCATACTTTAGATCAATGAGACTGTTTCCTGGTATTAGGTGAATACACAGACTGCCGAAGTCGACCACGGTCAAGCTAATTTAAAAGTTGGGGAATCGATGTCTCCATCCCATTTAAGTATGCTTGGAATGTTCAACGAATTTAGCGTTGCTGCAGGCTAGTTGAATTTCCACTGAAAGTTTCTTCTCCAACGTTCCAATCGTCTACTGTGAGTGGTAAATAAATTATCGTCGTCGGAAATGATCATTACTGTGTCGTTCATGCAATTATTTTAGTTTTTTGAACTCATACTTCTAACACTTATTAGTGTCTCAGTTTATCGGTGTATTGTTATCTAAGTTTTGACAAAAGCCAATTAGGTAATAAAGTATTGAAGTAAACAGATATATAGATAGTATTTCGGTGTATGTGATTGTCAGTACATATATATTGTGTTCTTGAATGGGGATTATCATCTGAAAAGTGCAAAGTTAATTTCCGCTTTTCAGGTATTAATTTTCCATCTCTGAACTTGATCTCATTTACACTTCACACTATCCAAAGATCCTTAATTGCGCTGTTTATTGCATTCTCTGTCTGTCTGTCTGTCTGTCTGTCTGTCTGTCTCTCTCTCTCTGACAAGAGGAGTTATTCAAGCGGACTGTTTAAGGGTCAGTTTCATCATGCACACTAAGGTTTTTTGGGGGTTATTATGCAAATGTCATTTATTTAGTAATCATTTATTGTCTCAGAGACAAACTCGGTTCTTGAGTTAGTCAAGGAATCATAGTTTCTTTGATAATAATAATTGTATTCCTGATGTTATTCTTCATTTTTGCTTCTAGCTACTTGATTTGCTGACTCGACCAACATTGAAAATTTGTTCTGCCCATGGAGTAGAGTTGAACCGACCACTGGTTTGGTATTCACGTTTCAAGCTGTTTCGCGTTAACGAATTGCCGACTACACCTAAAGTGACTTTTACATGCGGAAATATTTGGAAGACTAATCTTTCCGTGTATGACACAGTCTTACTATTTGGTGTTGATTCAATGGTGAGCTTGTGTCAAATGGTGATTATTCAATGTAAATGACATTTTCAGCTCAAACTGTTGCTCATAACCACATGAATTTTATATGATCATGGGCAGTAATTTGTGCCAGAAATGTCATCCAGTTATTCACACTGCATTACTGTGCGTTATTTCAAATTATTATTATTATTATTATTATTATTATTATTATTATTATTATTATTATTATTATTATTATTATTATTGTATCCTTTAGTTCCTAGAGGAACATAGGGCTTCAGCTGCGCACCTCCATTGACTTCGGTTTTCTGACAACTTTTTCACCCTGCTCCAGGTCTGCCCACATGCTTTCATCTCCTCTTCACATGACCTCCTCCAAGTCACCCTTGGACGACCAACTCGCCGCCTCCCTTTCGGGTTCCACTCGAGGGCTTGTCTAGTGATGTCACTTGATGGTTTCCTCAGCGTATGGCCAATCCATCTCCATTTCTTTCTGCCTATTTGTTTCACAATCGGTTCCTGATTGGTTCGCTCCCAGAGATCCCTGTTGCTGATCTTTTCTGGCCATCTGATCTTGAGTATTGAGCGGAGACAGTTGTTAATGAAGGTTTGAAGTTTGTTTGAGATGCTCTTTATGACTCGCCAAGTCTCTGATCCGTATAGTAGCACTGACTTCACATTGGAGTTGAAAATCCGGATCTTATTTTTGATGCTGATTGCTGTTGACCTCCACACAGATTTGAGAGTAATGAAAGCTTGTCTTGCTTTTCCGATTCTGGCTTTGATGTCCTCGTCAGTTCCGCCTGTAGTTGAGACGATGCTTCCCAGGTAGGTGAAGGAGGTTGTTTCTTTCAGGTTCTTCCCATTTATGCTTATTGTGGTCTGTTGTTGTTGTTGATGTTGGCAAGGAATCTTCATCATCTCTGTTTTATCTATGTTCACGTGAAGTCCTATCTTTGATGCTTCTTCTGCCAACTTGTTACTTTTCATTTGCATATCTTCCAGTTTATGGGAAATCAGACATATATCATCGGCGAAATCCAGATCCTCCAAGTCTTTTGTGTCAGTCCATTTTATGCCTGTTCCCTCGTTGGTTGCCGTTGTCTGTCGCATTATCCAATCAATTGCAATCAGGAAGATCATTGGTGATAGTAGACAGCCTTGCCTCACTACCGTCCTCACTTCGAAGGCTTCCGTATGTTTCCCGTTGTGGATTACTTGGCATGCAGCCTTGTCGTATAACTGTTGGATGAGGTGTATCATTGTCGATGGGACCTCGTAGTAGCGAAGTAGTTTCCAAATGACCTCTCGATCGACGCTGTCGAAGGCCTTTTCAAAGTCGATGAAGTTGAGATAGAGAGGTGACTGCCGTTCCAAGCTTTGTTCAATGATGATCCGTAGAGTGGCGATTTGATCAATACATGATTTGTTTCTCCTGAATCCAGCCTGTTCCGGACGAAGTTTTTCATCTAGGGCTTGTTTGATTCTCTCCAGGATGATGCGACTTAGTATCTTGCTTGGAATGGACAGAAGCATAATTCCACGCCAGTTTTTACATTGACTTAAGTCTCCTTTCTTTAGCAGTTTGAATAAATAGCCTATCTTCCAATCCTCAGGTACATTGCCCTCTTTCCACACCTTCTCCAGCAGTGGTGTCATCAAGTCCGCTGTTGTCTCTGGGTCTATTTTCAAAGCCTCTGCTGGGATTCCATCTGGTCCCGGTGTTTTCCCAGCTTTAAGCATCTTGATTGCATTCAGGACTTCTGATTTCGTCGGGGGGTCAGTGTTCACTGGTAGTTCTGCTTCCGTTGTTGGTATTGCTGGACGTGTTGTAGGTGGCGGACGATTTAGAAGTCTTTTGAAGTGTTCAACCCAGTGCTTTCTCTGTTCCACCTCTTTGGTGATTGACTTTCCATTGTCGTCCTTTATTGGCTTAATCTGTGTCGAACGTTTGCCCGAAAGGTTCCTAGTTGTTTGGTAGAGTGTGGCGAGGTCTCCTTTGCCTGCAGCTTGTTCTGCTTCGTTTGCCATGGTTTCATAATATTTTCTTTTGTCTTCCCTGGCACTTTTCTTCACTCTTTTGTTCAGTGTATTGTAGCTTGCATTCAGCTCCTGTTTTTGTTGCTCGTCGTGCACTGGATAATCTTTTGCTTCACTGTCCTTCTCTCTTCTATTAGTTTCCAAGTGTCCGTAGTGAGCCACTGTTTGTCCTGTCTCTTTTTTCTGCCTAGAATTTCTATGCAGGTTTGGCTCCACACCGTTTTCAAGTTGTTCCAGTGCTTTTCGACGCTGACCTTTTCGCTGGTGTTGATTTGTATCTCAGCTTTGTCCTTTATGCTTGCAATGAAGATGTCCTTTGTAGCCTGGTCCTTCAGCTTTTGAGTGTTGAACTTGGCTTGTGGTCTATCTGCAGCTCCTGTCTCCCTGAAAGCTTTTAATTTGATTTGGATTGTCCCTTGTACGAGATAGTGATCTGAGCCAACGTCTGCTCCTCTTCTTGCTTTTGTGTCCAGTAGGCTGCGCCTCCACTTCCTTGAGATTGAGATGAAGTCGATTTGGTTTTTGGTTTGCCCGTCTGGTGACACCCATGTAGCCTTGTGGATATCTTTGTGCTTGTATACACTGCCACCAATCACTAGTTCGTTGAAGGCGCAGAAGTCGGCGAAGACTTCTCCGTTTTCATTCATTTCTCCTAGAGCTTCTCTACCCATGATGAGTTCCCTTCCCGTATTGTCTGGTCCCAGTTTGACGTTCATGTCTCCCATTAGTATTTTCATGTCGCCAGCTGGAGTATTATCCATTGTTGCCTGTAGTTGCCTGTAGAATTCTTCTTTCTTCTCGAGGTCTGCGTTGTTTGTGGGTGCATAACATTGTATGATTGACACTTTCCTTCCTTTGGAGTTGAACCTGGCGGTCATTATCCTGGACGAAATCGCCTCCCATTGTATCAGGGCTTTCGTTGCCGTTGGTGACATCATGATAGCCACGCCCTCGGTGTGCGTGTGGTTATCTTCTGGGTGACCGGAGTAGATCACTGACTCGCCTGTTGACAATTTGGTGAGTCCACTCCCATTCCATCTGCTCTCACATATTCCCAGCACTTGTATTCCGTATCTTTTCATCTCGTTGGCGATCTGGGCAGCTTTCCTGTCTCGTACATATTTCGGACGTTCCATGTTCCTACACAGACTTTTTCTTTTGGTGCAAGGAGGTTCACATACTGAAGTTCTTTAGCAATTTTTGTTTACAGGGTGGGGTTGCTAGCCTCACGCCTGAGAAAAGAATGATTACATTAAGTAAATGTTTAGAGAGAAGCAACTTTTTGGGTTGCTCCCCTCAAAATCAGAAAATAACGGACAAACAATGAGAACAACATCAACAAAGGAAACAGTTCACAGAAAAAAGGGCAAAAAGCGACGACAACTATACAATAAGACAACATGCAATATAGTTCAGTACATTTAGCTAAAATGATATCTTAACCATAAACTCACTGACTTGGAGCAACTTGAACATATAAATCCAACAATATATACAATTATAGATGTGTTTATGTTTAAAAATTCCACAAATTCAAACAGTGAGTTATGTGTATTATCTGTCAATAAGATTGTATTTTTTGGATTCAGTGTTCGAAAGGTTAATAATTGTGATAATTTCCGCAAACACTTTGCATAAAATTTTAGAGTAATAAGAGATTTTATTTATGACCAAAATGTAGCGTAATAGTCGAAAAGCGCGCTCAAGGTCCAACCGTTATTTCAAATAAACTTATCTAATATGGAACTACATTCTACCACAGTGTCCACGTTCTACACTTACATTATCAAATCTAATGATATTTCCTGAATAAACCTATTTAAGTTAATTTCCGATTGAACCATCTGTTGTAAACTTAATGCAATTCAGTTTAATGCAGTAGTGTTTATTAAATTTGGTTGACCACCGAGCTGATCTGGTATTTTGATTGTTAGACTACAAGACTTGGTAACTAGCTGGAACAACTTTCTTATACAGCAAAATCAAATACTACAAATGGTCGGGATTTAGTCGCTGAAATAGATGAAACTGTGGTTAAGGAACGTGGTGTGCGTATACGATTGCTCACTTGATTCCTATTATCTTGAATTTCGGAACAGAAATACCAGTAGATACCATGTTAACGGTAAAGCAGTTAAAACATTGCACGTATTACCAAGGATAACTGTGTACCCTGATGGCTCTAAGTCATGCAAATGCTTCAGCAATGAAATCTGTGATTCCCATGTTATGGCTCTAGAATAACTTCTTAATATTCTATCAACTTTTAAAAAATCCTAATCATTATTTCCTTGCTAACTTTTTTATTTGTAGATGAATTCGATAGAACAGAAGCTGAAAAAAGAATTACGAGCTGGATCGATTGTAGTTACAGCTAGATACCCACTGCCTAACAAGAAAGCACGGAGAGTAATTAATGATGGACCACATTCTGTATTTTTGTACACAATCTAACAGTCAGTCGTTACCTTGTAGATCTTAGTTCATTCTTTCTTTTCTTCATTCTATCATGTTCATTTTGGAAAGGAATATGAATACTGTCGAAAATATTTCCCCCAAGCTGATCAATAGCAAAATATTTTCGCTGAAATCTTTCAAATTAAAGTTTTTTCCAATTTTTTTCGTACATAGTGAATGTCTGTTTATTTTTGAGTCAATGTAAGTTGTTTTAGTATATTGGTGCGTTGTTAACGGTTACAGAAGAGTTGACAATTGTTACTAAAAACGGTTGCGTGGCGATATTTCCTTACAAACATTCACCACAAGTTTCAAATGTGACTTACATGTATCCCCCAATCTACATGCTGAGGAATTTCTACACAATAAAGATTTTCTTTTTGATGAATCATTTTCAAGAGCTGTATGGTCGTATTTATATTTAGCAAATATATCATGAAACCAATCTGATACTGGTAACTATGTTCTAGAAAATGTATCACAATGTGGGTTGTAATCTAGAAAAGGATGACTGAGTGGAGACACAAGCTGGAATACGTAGTAAGTGTGAAAAATAACTAATCATTGTAGATGGGCAAAAGCCAGTGGAAAGACGGTAAAGAGTTTATATATAACCTGTATGAAAATGCAGTGTTACTAATAAACAATAAAAGTGGTTGTAAAATATGAATAGTGATAATAAAAATAATAAAAACTTAGACAAGAAAATGAAATAAAATTATGATGAGAACGTCACTCTGGCCACATCATGGCGAGTAGGTGTATACAGTGCTTTTGAACTCAAAGGCTCGGTTTAAGGTCCCGAACGGCTATGTATAAATTACATATTCGAAGTCATTTCGTGCGATATCGGGGAACTCTGTATAGTACTGTGAAGCAATCATGTAGGGGGTATCCTCTGTCCAGAGTTGACAGGGTGTACGATAATGGGACTACTGATGTTCTTTTCTCCTTTGATTAGCCAGTCTGAATAGTGTTCTAGAGTGAATTTTCGGACTCGATGCTATGCACAGCCAATACACTTTGCCCCCATAGGAACAAGCATACTGCAAAATACAGATTGAGATGATCAATAGCGGTATCTTATCCTAGGTGGATATCCATTTTTCAGTAAGGTAGTGATTTTAATTCAGTTTCTATCGTATCTTATGAGCAGATTTTTCGAATCTTTAGGCATAGCGTACGGACTAAGTTTTGTTTTTGGACAAGTGAGACAAAGCTCTGGAAGTCAATAGACCGTCCAGTCGATGTTGATTTTCAATATATTTGTGGCGTGTGTTAATGACAGGATTTACAAGTAGTGTTTGGATACAGATGTAAATATGTATATCATATGCAAGAATGCTGAATAGCGGAGAGTTTGGTATAATGTGAAGAAAATAGATGAAAGATGCTTGTGAAACAACATGGAAAGGAAGGCAGAGATCCACAGTGCGGAAAGCGAAAGTAGCACAATACTAAAGATAAGTGCAAGTTGTGATTCTAGTATATGGTAGACGTATTCCGCTTATGTCTGCACGTCAAGTTGCCAATAAATAATTTCGTTGCCACATGTTTCTTTGTTTTCCCGTTACACATTAATCTTTAGATAGAGTTGTCTTTTCTTCCAGTAAGTAGCACATCCAGGAATGGGAAAGGTGTGTTTGTTTCGCGTTCTAAGGTGAATTTTTCTGGAAGGTGGGCTGCGTTGGAAGTGTTGAGGAGGTTGTCTAGACCAAAGTTTTCGTCAGGAATTATCAAAATGTCATCTACATCTGGAGATGTAGCCGATTGATGCAAAGATCGATGATGTTTTCAAGACTCACCTTGAGACAGTCAACTAGGAGTTGACCAAGGGAAGACCTCATAGCCATACCATCTTTCGGTACGGAGAATTATCTGCTGAATCTGAACTGAATGTCAAATGTCCACTTGAGAAATAGTTCCATTTGGCAGTTTTTGGGAAGAGGAACATTTGGATTAATGTAGTTCCATATGTGGCATACTGTTTCAGTTAAGGGGATGCTTGTGAACCGGGAGGTAACATCTGGAGAGAGAGAACTTGCCTTCCAACACATTGATATCTTCCACTGACTCGATGAAATCAAATGTCTTTAAGACTACACCTAGTTACATTTCTACGTAAGCTCTCGAGGATATCTGCTGGTGATTCACGACATGATGACACGGTGTGTTAATCCCGACAGACAGACTTTAGGACAGTCCACCAATCTGTATGACCTGCCCCCGTCTCTCGTGATTATCATGTGATTATTGGTTATTTCAATGTAAACTCCCAGCGCTGGTGCTTGACGTACGTAAATATAATTCTCTAACCATTTTGTTTTACACATTAATGCTGTCTTTGTCCCTCCTTGAGGAGAAGATGCCTTTGTATTGTTACTTTTGTGTAATTTTCTTATTCCTCTATATTTTAGAAGCAGACAAAGTTTACATTAAGTCACCTGGGTCTTACCTGTAGTGAGGCCTAGACACTATCGTTAGTACTGATAGTGAGAACAAATTATGTGTAGCCAAATTTAATCCTGCATGGTGAGTTGAGCATTTCCACAACAGGTCAAAGTGGAATATCCTTCTTCTTCCTTTTAGGTGATAATAATAATTGCTCTATTCCAAGCAATGTTTTGGTACAAATAGTGGAATGTTCAGCGTATATAACGGTATTGCATCTAATTATCACCTCAAAGTTGTAGTAATTAAAATAGGGCATTTACATTGATAATATTGTTCAATATGTATATAAAACTAGATTGAGGGAAAACAGTAATAATGGTTAAGCTATGAAAAGAAGGAAAACAGAGGGCCGTCTAATTTAATATTATTATTAAAAGCTTTATTCCAAACGGTATTTGTGGTACAGGTATGGAATTTTCAGCGTGCATTACAATATATTGCATCTAATTACCTCTTAAATTTTATAAGATTTTTAAAATCAAAAAAAAAAAATAAATAAATGAAAAAAACCAACGCCAAAAAAATAAATAATAAAAAAGAAGAGTCCCAAACTAGGACGAAACAGCTGTCCAGTACTCCCAGGTTTTCCAGTGGTTCTCTAACTGACGTCAGCTCATGATTAAATCCTCCATGCAATCAGATAAATAAAAATTTAAAAAAACAGCGTAGAGTTTACACTTCAAACAATGCACCACAAGATATGAAATATAAAGTTGATGTGTGATAGAAGATGAGAACAACAGTGTAATAGTAACGAGGAAAGGAAAACAGAAACTAATGGAACTATTTGTTAGAGGGCCACAGTAAGTTTATCGTGTCATACCTAACGGATTTCTCAACACATAACAGCTGTGCCAGATATGGTATTGTGGAGATTTTGTATTTGGTAGTCCTAGCATATAGCCTCCTATAGCTGCTTCTAGTTCTGCCAGATGAAATGCAAGGAGACAGCTGTGTAAAGAGAGGATGCCCGGGGTCCGACAATATTGTATTCGCTAGTTTCTTACATGACATAATATGTCTATCCACAATAGTGTTAACCAGTTGGTTTAACGATATCCCACTTGCCCTACTAACGGCTTTTAGTGCCCTTCTCAGCAAAGCAAAGTCTTTCTTAAGTAGTCCAGGAAAGATTAATGGGGAGCAGTAAAGGGGGATGGGTAGAATACAAGAATTTACAAACTGAGAAAGCAAAGACTGCTTTATGCCAGACTGCCTAAACTTCTTAATGTAGAACGTTAAGCGAAACATCTTTCTAGTAACTAGCAAAATGTGGGAAGACCAGGAAAGATCGGTGGAAAAACTCAGCCCAAGGTACTTGACATTAGATTTATTTTCAACATCTGTGCCGTCAATGATAGTGGGGCCATGTGAGCTAACTAGTCGCCGTAGGTCACGTTTACGTCTGAAAGTGAAATTGACTACCTGACATTTAGACGGATTAAGCTTAAGTCCGTTTGAGGAGGACCATTGACTAATTTCTGACAGAAAGTTATTTAATTTGGAACAATCTGACTGAGAGTTGACAGGTATAGAAACAGAGAGGTCATCGGCATACTTAAAAAAAGTGGCTACATCAGAATGAGGCAAGTCATGTAAGAAAAACGAAAACAGAAAGGGAGAAAGAACAGCACCTTGAGGAACACCAGCTAAAGTAAGTGAGGTAGTAGAGGACTTTCCATTGTAGGCGGTATACTGCTTCCTATCAGAAAAATAGGAATGCAACCACTTATTTGTCCAGCTCTCAGCCTGTGATGCAGCAAGCTCACTTAGCAAGAGAGTCCTGGCAACAGAGTCAAATGCAGATGTGTGATCAAGGAAGGCACAGCGAACGTATTTAGCTCCTTTATCTAAACTAGAGACTATACTATGATGTAGGACAACAGCGGCATCTAACGTACACCTACTATGTTTATGAGCAAACTGGTTGGAGTCGTTAAAAGGCTTTAAAGAGAGATCAAGATTAAGTAAGATAAGTCTTTCCATAACTTTCAAAAAAGGTGAGGTAATTGCAATGGGTCTAAACTTAACATTAGGTCCACCTGTTGATTTAGGCACTGAAACGGTCTTAATATTTTTCCATGATTCAGGTATAATACTTTTGGAAAACGATTCGTTGAAAATGTCAGTTAAAGGGGAATACAAGATGTCGGCACACTTCTTAAGGATAACAGCAGGAACACCATCAGGACCAAGGGACTGAGTAGGTTTGAGAGATTAAAGACACTTGAGGACATCATTCGTGTTAAAGCATGAGAAGCAGTCATTATTTACATTATTTGAGTTAGGAATCATAACATTTGCTGGGATACATATGAAGGACTCATTAAGCACATTAACATCTACAGAAATATCATTCATCATTCGCTTACCACCTGTGATTTCCTTTGATAACTTCCACATATTTGATGGGGATTTACATGAAAGAAACTTTTGTTTATAGACAGCATTTAATCTTGGTAATTCAAGCTTAATCAAAGTGTTCATTCTCTTAACACCAGATTCGTTTTTCATTTTGATGAACAACCTTTCTTTTTCACGGT